GGGCGGAGCGGCCGCAGGAGCGTCGCAGGGGGGCCGCGTCCTCCTCCTCCTTCCCGTCTCCTTCCTCCTCCTCCTCCTCCTCCTCCTCCTGCTCCTCCTCCTCCTCCTCGTCCTCGTCCTCGTCGCCGTCGTCGTCGTCGTCGTCGTCGTCGTCGCCGTCGCCGTCGTCGTCGTCGTCGTCCCCTTCCTTCTATTCCTACTCCTCCTCCTCCTCCTCCTTGTCGTCGTCGTCGTCGTCCTCCTCCTCCTCCTCCTCCTCCTCCTCCTCCTCCTCCTCCTGGGGGAGGGGCGAGCGAGCAGAGCTGCGGTGGAGTGCGCGGGCAGTTCTCTGTTGTTGGTCGCATCGGCGCGGATCCACGCCGCTGTCGGAGGCACCCGAGGGGCACCACGGGGCCGAAGCAGGAGTGCGCGAGTACAAGCAGAAGGCAGACGCCTGCGACCGCACAGGGGGGGGGGGCGGCGGAGTGCTGCGAGGCAGCTCGCGGGAACCCCCCGACGCTGATGGATCTTGCGGATCGGCGACAGCCGACGCTGATCGACGCAGCATCGACGCCAGGCGCTTTCTAATCGATTGCCGAAAGTGCTGGCGCGCGCTCAGGGCACTCCAAATGCGGAATTTCGAGGACACACGGCTCCCACGAGTCGCTGCCGAAGGAGCGGCAGCAGCGCTGGGGGGGGGGGAAGGATGGGGCGCCCTGGGAAGGCCACGCCACGAAACCTCCCAATCCTGCCAGAGAGGCTCGCCATGAGGGCCAACAACCGGCTACGTACGCTCCTTTCTGACCAGTCAGGGGGGCAGATACAATCGAGCTTGATTGGAGAGGACTTGCGAGAGGACCTTCGGAGGGCCACGTTGGCATAGGAATGTAATTCAAGGCGTGGGCCGCGAAACACAGGACAGAACGGTACCCTTGAATTGGCGGGGCCAAGAACCTCCCGCCATGACCCGAGGGGGTCCGGGTGTGCACTCCTCCCTGAGTGGGCACGGGGGGGCAAGAAACGCGGGGGCGATCGAGGGCTGCAGGGCCCCAACTTTGGCGGCGAGCCCGGGGGTGAAGTGAGAAAGGGCCGGCCTTCTCAGAAGGCTCGGAAGACCTCGAGCCTTCCGAGAAGGTTTCTAAGCCTTACCCCTAAGCGCGAGGGCTTCTGAGAACTTCCCCAGCCTTCTGAGGAGAAGGCAGTCTCCTTCTCGCTACCGCCCCCCGCGCTCGCCGCCGACAAAAGGCCCCCCGACTGCCACCGCGGCCCCAAAACGTGCTCGAAGGGTGCGCCCGTCTCCCCACCTCAACCACCACACGCACACCTTTGCTTCCCCCCGTCACCGTCTCCCCGGAAATATGCGGGGAAGCAGCAAGATAGCGTTGTGCGCTCGCCAAGACATGGGATTATTACGTCATCACACCGCGGCCGAAACATCCACAATCAGCTAAATCACGGTCGGTCGATGCGGGCTGTTCGACCACAGCCGACTGACATGGAGTGCGCGAACGAGGTCAAACAATTCCTGGGACCGTTCGGCTGGAGTTGAATGACTTGGGGCCGCTCAGCTCTGAGCCTCGCTGGAACAATATTCATGCGGATCGTTGGGACGCAGTGGGCAGATTTTGGAAGCGCGGTCGAACAGTCCAGACTGTCGAACTCGCAGTCTATGCGAGCATGTCGGCCTCGTTCTGTTCACACATGGACGGAGAAACGTCCCATACCGACCGCCGAAATACGACAGGGTACAGGATAGATAACATGTACCTTGGGAAAGCACGCAAATCAGAGTACATGAGAACATGCTGAGTCAAGCGTGTGAATGCAGTGGGGAACTGCACTCATGCGCACAAGTGCGTGCGTATAAGAATATGTCCGACGTATAACTACCATGTGACGTGGCGTGACGCAGCCAAATCGGACGCAATGCTGTGTAGCGTGGTGTATGCCTGCGAAGCATGAAGGACACGTGTACAATTGCGATTTGCATTCTGATACAGATGCGACGACACTTGTTTACATGCAGACGGGCTTTGCCAATGAAGCGTTAAAGGCACATGACATCGCACTGCGAGCCGCAATTGGAAGCGTACGCTAAACAGAAAACAAACAAACAACCTGAATGCGGACGCAGCCAGCTTCGCCGCCAACACCACCGTCCTCCTATTCCTCCTCCAAATTCGCCTCCACGCGTCCGTTCCGTGCTCGTTCGCACTGTCCCCCTCCGACTCGTTTTCCCAACGTCCTGCTCCGGCTCCCTTCGTCATCGCCACCATCGCCATCGAGGGGTGCACACAGCATCGACGCCGATGCAGCGCCACGGCCCACGACTGCGTGCGCACGGAGACAACCCGGCAACGCGACGCTGGCAAACACACATCGCGCCACCGTTGCACCCGGGCGCGCCCGCAGGATGCGGGCACGGTCGGGTCCCAGCACCGGTGCTCGTCCAGCGGAGGCCGACGCGGAGGTGCTCTCCCCGTCGGCGGCCGCCGGAGGGGCCAGGCGGCGGTCGAGCAGCGGCGGGGGCGGGAACGCAGCACGGCGAGGCACAGAGGGGGGAGAGGGAACGCGCCGAGGCGCCGGGCAGCTGGAGGGGCTCGGAAGAACACGGCGAGGACGTGCACGCAGCACCGACTCGGCTCGGACGGGCAGCTCGGGCAGGGCTCGCCTCCCCCCCCTACTTTCTCTCCGTCGGGCTTTCGCAACCCCGACCCCGCCCCCCCCCCGCACTCTTGACCTCTTGCTGCCTTGTTCGCGCGCTGCACGGCACGCGCGTGGGACACCGCAGCCTTTTGGCCCAGATGAGGACCTAGAGTCCGAAACGCGTCGCCAGCTGAAAGTGGTTGAAATCAGTAGTCACGTTCTCCCACACTCATGCACGGTGCGCCTGCGGGATTCGCTCCGGCCCCTCAGGGGCAGGGACATCCTCCAGCTGGGCAGCCGGTGGCGTTGGCACAGCCGTTTTCAGCAGCAGTCCAGCTCGGGCGGCTACCAGTTCTCAACCGCTCTCAATCGCTACATAACGGATCGACGTGATCGACGTGTCCGGCCAAGGAGCGCCGGCGCTCCAGCTGGTGGTGGCGAGGATTAGCCTCACCCACCACGTGAAGGTCTTCTGGAGGACATGCTCACGCACATGGCATCCCAGTCCGCCGCCACGAATCTCGCCGCGCAGTCGCTCACGTACACCAGCGACCCTGACAGCGTGAACGCCCTTGTGCCACACGATATCGCCGGCATCATGGACAAGCGGCGAAATCGGGTGAAGACCCTGCTTGCCGCCAAGGTGAATCAGGAGAAGTTGGAACTCAAGTATTTGCGCCTCGAACGAGAGCATGAGTTGATGACCAACCTGAAATCCTTCGCGACGGCCTCATGGCAGTGGCCTCAATGGTATTCGGCCGCGGCAGCCGCCAGTGACCACCCGGCCGACCAGGACTTCATGAGTACGCTGCGCAATGCGAGTGACTACACAGTGGATGCCGCCTGGACCCACATGCGCCTAAAAATGGCATTCAGCGTGCAGGAGTTTATCTTCAAACACCAGTCGAAGTGTCTGGAGAAGATCGTCGAACTCACAGACCCCGTGAAGCTCGAGCAGGAACTCGTCGATAGCTGCACCAAATGGTGGGCCGACAACAATGTAAGATCGAAGGAGGGAACGAGGGCGGAAACGAGAATAGAAACGAAAACGAAACGAAGGCGAGAACTAGAAGGAGACCCGGGGGAGTGATTTGGGAAGACCCTGCTGGTTTGGGAAGACCTGGGGGGCTGGTTTGAAGAGACCTGGTTGGTTTGGGAAGACCCGAGGTTTTGGTTTGGGAAGACCCGTGGAAGACTCGGGGATGGTTTGAAAAGACCTGGTTGGTTTGGGAAGACCCGGCCGGTTGGTTTGGGAAGACCCGTTTGGTTTGGGAAGACCCAAAGTTTGGTTTGGAAAAACCCGGCGGCCTGGTTCCGCAACATCTGGTTTGTGAAGACCCTTTTGGTTTGGGAAAACCCTGCCTCAGGGGTGGGGTCTGGTCCTATGGGCCATATGGGCGAGACTTAACCAGCCCGAAACAGGCGCCGAAAACAGCCAAGATTCACTCCATGTGGGGGGGGGGGCGAGGGGGGGTGCGAGGGCCCGCGCCGAGCGGCAAAACAATGAATGAGAAAACGGCGACTTCTTCGCCGGGCTGGTTTATGCTTACGCCGTGTTCTCTTGCCGATCGCCTGGGGCGCACCAGGGCCCAAGGCCGCCGGGGACGCCCGTCCCCCGGGCGGCTGCAAAATCTATACCCCTGCGCGGCACCGTTCCCCGGGCAAAATCTACACCCCTGCAAAATCTAGTCCCCCGGGCACAAGCGTTCCAGCCGCCCGAGGGGAAAGCGCCCCCGACGGCAGAAACAGCCGCTCTCGCCCGCTGCCTTCTGTTCATGCCCTGGTCCTGGGGCGCACCAGGGGCGCACCAATGGCAGGCCTAGAGGTTGGCACCAACACCAAGATCGGCCGTCTGCCTCCACCGAAGGAAGAGGATCCCGATCTCGGTGATGGTGGTAATATCCTCTCCTCCTCCTCCTCCTCCTCCTCCTCCTCCTCCTCCTCTTCCTCCTCCTCCTCCCACTCCTAGCCCTTTCGATCAGGGTCGGCGGCACCGGCCGTCAGGCCTCTCCAATATCCTGGCCTCCAAGGCGGCCGAAATACTACCACCAACACCGAAATCAAGTACCATCATCCCCCTGTAAAGGCAACCCCCTGTGTTGGTCCCAGACCCCCGACGTCATGATTTTTTCATGACGCGACCCCCAGAGGTCCCGACACATTCCCCCGGACCGGTTTTTCGTCCTGAGTCGTTTTTTGACGCTCCCGAGGCCCGGCGAGGGCCCCCGGAGGCCGAAAATAGCGAAAAACCTCCCGTCGTGATTTTTTCACGACGCGAGGAGGTCTGGGGTGTTGGTGCTCATTTCGAGGTCTCCAGACCAGGGCCCGAGGCCGCCGCGCGGCCGCGCGCCGCGCGGCGGCGGAGCGGGGCGGGCCTCGGACTGCGGGGTGCCGGCGGCGCTCCGCCAGCTCGGGGGCGGGGCCTCCTGGCCGGCGCGCCGAGGGGCCCGAGGGGGCAGGGGCCCCGCTGGCCATCGCTTCGCCTCCTCCTCCTCCTCCTCCTCCTCCTCCCTCCTCCTCCTCCTCCTCCTCCTCCTCCTCCTCCTCCTCCTCCGCCGGTCCAGGTCCCTCCTCCTCCTCCTCCTCCGCTCGGCCGCTGTTTCGGTCTCGTGCGCGGTCTTTTCGCGAGGTGATATCCAGGATGCGCCTCGAGGGCCCTCGCCGAAGGAAAAAAGCACACGTCCGAGCGATGCCGGGCCCGGAGAGTCGAGCCAGGTCAGGCGGTCGGGCGTGGTGGCAAGGACGTGCAGGGGTGCGCGGCAGGGGTGCGCGGTGGGGATGTGCGGGAGGCGGGTGGCCGTCGGCCGGAAAGAAGCGGGCAGACAGCACGGAGCAGGAGCGCTTCGGAAGTAGATCGGGTCGCCGCGCACCCCCTGGGGAGGGGAGGAGGCAGCACCACTCGATCACTGGAGGAGGAAGGTGCCTAAAGTAGATTGGGACCCGGGAAGTCCAGAAACACCTGCTTTCAACGACCGACGGTTGAGGATACGTTTCGCCAGGCGTGAACTGGTGGGGGGGCGATAAATGCGGGGGGGAGCAACGTGCACCGTTCGTGCCCCTTTTGGGACTCAGGGGGCAGCTTCCCTCACCTCCCATTGATGGCACCTCCATTACTCGACGCCGATTTCAGGCTGAGCAACCACCTGAGCAGGGAACGGCCGTTCCTGCAATCCTACAGGCCTACCACGACATGTTCTTAGAGCCCCAAAATGTTCAAATTCGCGGGCCCAACGGGCCAGAGGCGTGCTAAGATCTCCGGTAACTGCTAAATAATACTTCTACTTCGCGCGCGCGGGGCGGCCCCTGGGGGTCCCCGGACGAAAAGTACCCCGGGCGATCCCCGGCAGACTCGGGTCAGAGATGGTTTTCCTCCTGGGCGCCGCCCCCGTGGCCCTCCAGAGAGCCCCAAGAAGGGCCACGAGGCCGCCAAGAGCCCTCCAAGATGGTTCAAGAGTGCTCCGAGATGCCACACGATCGTTCCAAGACGCCCAAGATGGCCCCCAGACGCCCCAAGAGGCCTCCAAGAGCACTCCCCAGAGGGCCCCAAGAGGCAAAATTCATTACTTTTCCTTAGGTTTTGGGCAGATTTTGGCGTGTCCATCTTTTCGGCTTCCCGACGCCCCAAGACGGCCCAAGAGGCCCCCAAGATCGCCCCAAGAGGGCCCAAGAAGCTCCCAAGAAGGCCCCAAGATGGCCCAAGAGGGCTCCAAGACGGCCCCAGAGGCATCCAAGACGGCCCAAGAGGGGCCCAAGAGGGCCCCAAGCGATGCCCCAAAGGGGGAACACAAAACAAAACTTCGAGCCCTCGGCCTTAAGAAGCCCCCAGGAGGCCTCAAGAGGCCCCTGAGAGGCCCCAAAAGCCCCCAAGAGGCCCTCAGGAGGCCCCCAAGCGACGCTGAAGAGGCCCCCCAGCGGCCCCAAGAGGCTCAGTCATGCGAAATGGGCCGGCGGAAAGAGCGAAGCGATTCAATAACGGAAGCAAGGATGTTCTTAGACGATAAAACCGATTTCCTCGAAACCATAAAGGAACATGTAAAATTCTTTGGTCGGCCTATAGGCAAGCCAGGACGCTCCGCCACTGCTCGAGTCCTAAGCATCGTCCAACCGATCGCCATCCCCACTGACATGGCCTTGGCCCCAATGGCCAATTTATCCCCCCGCGTAGTCCCACCAGCCCTTTAGGGCGTGAGCGGTTTAGAGCGTTTCCTCTTCCAACCCCCATTCTTCCCCTTCGGGGGGGGAGGGTATCTCTGTGCCCCATTAACGAACCAAACATCCCCTCCCGCATGCGACCGGCAGCATAACTGGACCCATGCCACCCCCCCCCCGACATCCCTGTCAAAAAACAACGAAATACATGAAGCTCCCTGAACTGGAGCATGCGCGGGCGTCCCACGACCACTTTGCACCAGTTCTTAACAAGGACGGCGGGGGGGGGCGCATATTGCTTGCTGCGCGCAAGGCAACCATCCCATCTACAAAACAATGCAACATACACTTTGCCTCTGAATCTGGAGCATGCGCGGGCGTCCCGCGACCACTTTGGCTTGTTTTGACAGGCAGAATCTTGGGTCATGATCGGGGGTGGGCGCGAGCTCTGCGGTTGTTTTCTGACACAGACGGCGGGGGTGCCCGCATTCTGCCTGTTGTGCGCAGGGCCAGCACCCCTGTCGATTACCCGAGACGTACCTACCCCTCTCGACGAAACACAGGACCGATCAATACAAACGAACACGTTGAAGGACCCGAAGGGACCCACGAAAATGGCGACAGTGGCGCCATTCGCAGCCACCCGGGGAATCACGAGATTTCGGCTGGGTCTGTTTACCACTCCAATCCGCTGGGCCTCCCAGGAGCCCACGAAAGTGGCGACAATGGCGCACTTCGCAGCCACCCAGCGGAGCACCGAGATCTCGGGTGTTTCTGTTCACAACTCCACTCCGCTGGGCCTCCCAGGAGACTGCGAAAGTGGCGACAACCATTGTCGCCACTTTCGTAGGCTTCAAAGTGGCGACAATCATTGGCGACGAATCATTAGCGACGAAATGCGCCATTGTCAATGGCGCACTTCGCAGCCACCCAAGGAGCTGCGAGGCCTCGGCTGGGTCCGTTTACAACTCCACTCCGCTGGGCCTCCCAGTAGCACACAGAAGAGCCCACGAACATGGCGACAATGGCGCGCTCCGTAGCAAACCCAAGGAAACCGCGAGGTCTCGGCTGGGTCTGTTTACAACTCTACTCCGCTGGGTCTCCCAGGCGACCACGACAGTGGCGACAATGTCGCACTTCGCAGCCACCCAAGGGAGCCGCGAGATCTCGGCTTGGCCTGTTTGCAACTCCACTTTGTTGGGGCCCCCAGGAGCCCGCGACACTGGCGACAGTGGCACACTTCGCAGCCACCCAAGGGGGGCCGCCACGTCTCGGCTGGGTCTGTCTACAACGTCTGTTTACAACTCCACTCCGTTGGGCCTCCCACGAGCCCACGAAAATGGCGACCCTGGCGCACTTAGCAACCACCCGGGGGGGGGGGGGCGCCGTGCCTCGGCTTGGTCTGTTTACAACTCCACTCCGCTGGGCCTCCCAGGAGCACACGAACAGGGCGACACAGGCGCGCTCCGTAGCCACCCAAGGGAGCCGCGAGGTCTCGGCTTGGTCTGTTTACAACTCCACTTTGTTGGGGCCCCCAGGAACCCACGAAAGTGGCGACAATGACGCACTTCGCAGCCACCCAAGGGGGGCGCATGTCTCGACTGGGTCTGCTTACATCTCCACTCCGCTGGGCCTCCCAGGAGCACACGAACATGGCGACACAGGCGTGCTTCGTAACCACCCAGGGGGGCCGCCATGTCTCGGCTGGGTCTGTTTACAACTCCACTCCGCTGGGCCTCCCAGGAGCACACGAACAGGGCGACAAAAGCGCGCTTCGTAGCCAACCAAGGGAGCCGCGAGGTCTCGGCTGGGTCTGTTTACAACTCCACTCCGCTGGGCCCCCCAGGAACCCACGAACGTGGCAACAAGGGCGCACTTTGCAGCCACCCAGGGGAGCCACGAGGCCCCCTCTCCCAGGAACGCACGAGAGATGCAGATGCACAACGGCGCTGCAACGCACGCAGGAAGAACGAGAGAAGGGAGGAGAAAGAGAAGGAAGAGGAAACATGATGCAGGAAGTGGGAGTCAGGAGGCAGGAGTGGGGGAGGAAGGAGACTCGACCACAGTGCTGTTCAAAACGGGAACCCAAACAAGGAGGGTTGGGAAACAGCAGTACAACATGCACTTCGAGGCAACACCTTGATTATGCGTGAACACCTCGCTATCAATGCGCAAACGTTTCTGACTGGGACGGTGCGTGGGGCCAACCAGACGCTATGATGGCCACCCCGCCGCGATTGCGCACTGGTTTCCGACAGCGGTGGTGGGGCCGACGTGTTTCCCGATGCGTACGGTCAAGTAGCCACAGATAGATTGCACACGGGGACTTTGAAGTGCAATCAAAACGGGGGTCGTATAGAGTGCACTTCAAACATTGCGTGCACTCTATACGCGTTTCTATGGGCGTTTAGCGTGCACGTCGGAAGTCGCTAAAAAACGTTTAGAGTGCCAAGCAAATAACGGTAAGCGTGCACCTGTGCTTTCGGCATGTTTTCTCTGCCTTTCGGCCCCCCGCCGGCCCGAGCCACTTCTGGATGATCATCCTCTCCTACTCCTCCTCTTCCTTCTTCGCCTCATCTTCCTTCTCCTCCTCCCCCTCCTCCTCCTCTTCCTCCTCCCCCCTCCTCCTCTTCCTCCTCCCCCCTCCTCCTCTTCCTCCGCGTCCTCCTCTTCCTCCGCGTCCTCCTCTTCCTCCCCCTCTTCCTCTTCCTCCTCCTCCTCCTCCTCCTCCTCCTCCTGCTCCTCGTCCTCCTCCGCCTCCTCCTCCTCCTCCTCCTCCTCCTCCTCCTCCTCCTCCTCCTCCTCCCCCTCCCCCTCCTCCTCCTCCTCCTCTCCTCCTCCTCCTCCTCCTCCTCCACCTCCTCCTCCACCTCCTCCTCCTCCTCCTCCTCCTCCTCCTCCTCCTCCTCCTAGGTACGTACTCGTATAGCGTGCCGCGTGAGGGTCTGTGCAACAACGTATAGCGTCCAGTATCGCTTTGAGACGTAGGAGCGTATAGAATGCCCACACGACGTCCGATTGTTTTGGTGTTTCTATCGGAATGGAATTACGCCGGAGAGTCGGCGTATAGCGTGTACACGTTTGAACAATTTGTTGTCCCTCGAGGGGGGTCGTGCACGCTATCTGTGGCTACTTGACCGTACTGCCACGTGCACACGCGCACCTGGCACGCTCTGCGCGGGCCCCGGACGTTGGGCACCTGGCGCGGCTGGAGCATGCGGCACACATGGCGCACGTGGATCACGTGTCGCATCAGGTGCACCCGGCGTCCTGGCAC